CAAAAATCTCATCCTTAATGCTATATATAAAAAAAGATTACATTACCTAGTGATCAATAATAATAGTACCGTTACATTTGATCTTATAATAACCAAACTTCGATGAGATTATACATAAATATCAAGATATTAGATAGTTTTACAAGGAAGTTTACCCAAAAAAAAAAAAGATAGTTTTACGAGGAATGTTCATATTTTGATAAAATCTAATTGTCATAGAGAGAAAATTAAAAAATTCATATAACATAGGACCAAAAATCTCTAAATCCATTTATAAATAAGGGCATGCACACACGAAAAACATTTGAAAGATAATAGAATGAATAAATAATTTACAAAATAAGAGGCAAGGAAAATTATTTGTATTCCGTGAACCATAAATTTGTACTTGTAAAAAGTTAAAAGGAAATCATCAAATGTTGAGGGTTTTAAGGTTGTATATGTATTTGGGGTGTGGATTTATTTGAAAGTTGTACCTGTAAAGGGATAATTTTGAAAACCTTCCCTAAGGGTTTTGATAATATCACTTAGTTCTTTTGAGGTTTTTAAAATTTCACTTACCTCCCCTATCAACTTGACAAGACCAAATATTCCTGTCAAAGGTCACAAATTGACAAAATTTCCTTGCACTCTTAATAACTATTTAACAAAAAAGCCAAAACAAAAAGAGGATTTTAAAACCAAAAAATGTAGATAAAAAAATAAACAAACTGCTATTCAATATTGGTCCAAATTTCTCTGTATTAAGGTGATAATGGCATAGCAAAGGACGTGGATAGATTATATATAATCAAAGTCAACTACTTGGAATAATTTTGGCAAGTAATTAACACTTTGAAAAATTTTATAAGACAGTTACAAGGAAGTCAAGAAATTTTTTTAGGAAATATCTTTTAATATATGATGTAATTTAAGTTGTATTAACAATTAAAATAATCTCTTCATACGTATGGTTTGTAACATTAATCCTACTTATAAAAAAAATTATAAATAAGTCAGAATTAAAAAAATGAATCAAAAATAATTTAATGACCAAATAAAACTAGGAATGTTCTTTTTTTTTAATTGTTAAAACATCATTCGTTATATTAGGTAATACTTGTTGCATTTATAACTGCTCATATTTTCAACTTTTTACTTTTTAACCTTATTTTACGTTTAATTGTTGTTGTAAGGGTAGTATTGAAACAAAAAATTTATCGTTCTTGCATTTCCTTCAAAGGGGCTAAAATGTTACAAAAAATGTCAATTCAAGGGAGGTAGGTGAATTTTGAAAACTTAAGAGATGCTAAGTCATATTATGGGAAAATTTAGGGGAGGTTTCTAAAATTATCCCTTTTGTAAATTGAGTTGATAATGTTGACTTCCCAAGTTTTGCCAAATTACATTTTCCTCCCTTGAGGTTTTTCTAAACAACATAAAACCCTAGTTTGTCTAATTCAGCCCAAATTTTTTTTCTTGTTTTTTCTTTTTTTAAAAAGGATCAATAGTGGTTCGCCTGGGTGACTAGAACCCGTGACTTCTTAGTTATAGGTGAAACATTTTATCAAATAGGGCATGCTTCATTGTCAATTAGTCCAAAACGCTTTAAATAGCCAAACTTTTAATAAATTAACATTGCACTAGCCAATTGCATCAATCCCAACAAATTTTTTGACGATCATTAATTACCAATTTTTTTCCTTGACCATTCTTTTAACTCCTTGTAGGTTACATATAATGTAACAAAAACTCTTGGCAAATGGCAATAATAAACAATAGTGTTTTGATCATTGTTATAGTCTCTTTACCACTATTGCATTTTTACATTAAAAACCCTTTTCCATATCAATGTGTAAAGGGTAAAATATAAAAAAGTCCCCTGTGACAAACCTAATACACAAAAAAGCCCCCCGTGGTTTCAAAATATACAATACGATACCCCGTATTTTGAATTAAATTGTAAAGGTGACGGAATCTGTTAAACTTAATGGAACTTAAAAAAAAATTTTTATACCCAATTTTTAACAAATATACCTATTCTACCTCTTAACCCTCAATTCTCTCTATTTAGAGAATAAAACAAATGATTTTTTGAGCTGTCTTTTGCTTAATTATATCAGAGCATTTTGGTCATTTCGTCAATTTCCGTTAAGTTTAACGGATTCCGTCACTTTTATAATTTAGTTTAAAGTACGAGATGTCGTGTTGTATATTTTGAAACCATGAGAGGCTTTTCTGTGTATTAGGTTTACCACAGGGTGCTTTTTTATTTTTTACCCATATGTAAATGATCAAACTCTGTTTTCCAAAAAAGAAAATAAGCTATTATTTTTTAAATCAACTTTTAAGATTAACCTAATATTATGTGTACGGATGAAAGACCATGTAGTTTAGCTAAATTTTATTATTGCACAACAAATTATATATTTAAATAAAATTCATAATTGTTGAATGCAATAAGTTAGTAAGTGATTTTCTAAAACTTTTATTAACTTTCACTTCCTAGTAGTTAGTAAGTGATTTTTTTCTTTTATTTTGGGTTTCATTATTTTCCTTGGATCACGTTACAATATTTTTTTAAGGTTAAATTGTATTATTGTCATATAATAGGATCTTTTTATTGATATGGACAAACATCAAGAGAGATAAATGTAGTTTTTTTGGCAAAGGCTAGCTTTGTCATTTCTCTACTTCCATTAGTTGGATTTCACACCGTTACTCATAAGAGGTAATTATAATTTGGTCAAACCATAATGTTCATTTGTAATTTGGTCAAAACTCAAGGAAGGTAGCTGCAATTAATCCAAATTATTTTGTTAAGTTCGGGTGTACTACCCCGATAATTTTTGTGATACTAACATGTACTATTAAAGTTTCAAGTTCACAATACTTGCACAAGACAAAAAGCAAAATAAAGGTGGCAAAAGTGGATTTCCAGTTATCCGTTTGCCATTAACATTTGTTATACTTAAACTTTTCTCGTGACTCTTAAGTACATAAATTTAAGGAATGTAGACTTAGAAAATGAGTTCTCTTCGTCAATCTCTTGCAAACTTTTTCTAAATCTTCGGTTTTTTAGATCCATAAATAATCTAGTTGTACTTTCGTCCATTCCAAATTATAATACTATCTATAATTACGATATAGAATATAAGGCCTCAAAGGGCACTTGTCCCTTAATTTGGATAGTCAAACAATAAATAGTTAAAAACCATGAGAAGGGACATATTTAGGGGTAATGTCAAACCTAATCAAGCAAACGGAGAGTACACGAAGCTCAACCCAGGTAGAAGGTGTAGTGAGAATTGGAAGTACCCAACAATATATCATTTATGGGCCTTAGTTTGTTTGTTGGATGGACTAGGATGTTAACGAGACGAATTGATCTGACTAATGTTATGCTCGAGTTTGAATTCAATGCTACACAAGTGTACTCGAATTCCTCGACTCGAGCGAGTAGAAAATTTTGTAACTTGACTCGACTCGATAATATGCATATTCAAACTTGAACTCCACTCGGTAAAGCTTGACACTAGTCTTGAACTTTAATGAGTTCGAGGACTCAAATAAAACTCGAAAATCTCGAAAAAAGGATAGAAAATTTATAGTGAATTATCTAAAATCCTCATTTCTTTTTTAGTTTTTACAATATTACATTTGTGCCATTTTATGAATTTTATTGAGTAAACAACATATGGTAAATTACCTAAAACATAATCTTTAGTAGTCATTTCATAATTAAAATCAAAATATAATATAAATAATATACCAATAATGAAGCTACTCAACAAGCACTTGGGTGGCACAAATGAGAACTTGAACTCGACTTGGCATATGTATTGAGCTACTTGAACTCAATATCGAACTCGGTCAAACTGAGTTCGAGCCGAGTATTTGATCAATTTGCTCACAAGTTACTTGCGAGCGACTTGACTCGCGGATAGCCCTAAGATGGACTTAGTGATCTAAACTTTTAAATGATAGCAATCAAAATAATAGGGGTATATTTATAATGCTTTGGGTAATAAAGTTTGATTTGTCAAAAATTCAAGGGTATTTTGTATAATTAAGCCTAAATGATGTAACACTAATCTGTCTTCCATACTTTGAGTTTGCGAACAAAAGCTGTTACGTTCAACAACTAAAAAGGTGGTTCAGCGGATTTGCCAATGAAGCCTTGATTTTGTGGTAAAATAACTTAAGTTAAGTATTTTAAATTCAAATCCCATGAATTCTCCATAATTTTACATTAATATTTGAAGTTAATATTTCATACACTGACAATGTATAAGTTTCCCACATATGACAACTAATTGTAATTTGAATTTGATATCCAATTGTTTGATAACCTAATTCAACACTTAAATTTATTGGGTTTAGATCTTAATGTGTTCAGTCGCATTTGATAACTAAAAGTAAAACATTTGAATTAGTCAAGTGGCACTGAATTTTTTATGTAAAATTTATTCCAAACAATAAGTGATAAGTTATTCACTTATCATTAATTTGATACATTTGAATGTATATCACATTACTTAACAATTCAATAAATTAATAAATTCATATTTAATATTTCAGAATTTAGATTTCAATTTTCAAATTTTAATTTTATCAAACGCAACCTAAACTTGACATATATGGTATGCATCCAAGTATGACGTTGAATATGCTAACAGTGCACATAGGATTGATGCTATTCTTAAAGTTTATACTGCCATTTTATGAGTTAGCGAATTTGGAAAAATCCATCACCATGATTTAGATTAATCTAGATTTGAAATCCATTAAAAATTTTAATGTTCAAATATATCTAATTAAATATCATTTCAAATTCTTCCTTCACAACTTCAAGCTATCTCTTACTTAATCACCAGGGCGCTTTCAAAGTTCAAACCCAAACACCCAAAATGAATGGTGTGAAACCGCATGGACTACGTAATTTGTTGCTATCTTTAATATCCACAACTTTATCTCAATAAATATTACCTCATCGAGTGGTGTCTCTATCATGCTTGCCTGAGACACGTGACTGTGCTGGAATGCTGCCACTTTATCGCCAAGCCCTTTAAGCTTCGGTGGTAAGGTTTCACCTAAAAATCTGCTTTCCTTAGCTTAAACGAAAGCTCAAAATAATTTCTTCCAATTTCCAAAAAAAAAACTCAGCCAATTTCAAGCTTTCCTGCATCACTTGTGAATCCAAATTGAAGTGCTGATTGAATTCATTTATGTTTAGCAGACCATGAGTGGTGTTTCTCATCACACCCACCAAGGGCCCTATTCTCCACCAGGCAAGTAATTCAAGAATCAAAATTCTAAAGAATTTATACTTTTGCTAATAATTTCAATTGTGTATTTTCCAACTTAAGATTTATTCCTTGCAATTTTTTAATTCATGGCATTCACCAAGTTAAGAATGAAGTGATAAACATAAATCTAATTAATAAAATTATTTTGTTTCTATGAAAACAAAAGAATATGGTACGCTAAAATTTCTAAGATTTCTGAGTTAACGTTTGCGTTATGTGGCTTGTAGCAGTTAGTTTTCATAAATGTATGTTTTTATTTTTGGGAAAGAAAAGATTATTAAAGTTATATGTCAGTTATTACATGAACAAAATTTTCAGGGTATGCACCAACTCCTGGGGACTACCCTTCAGCGGTGCCGCCACCACCAGGGTTCTTCACTGATGGCTTCCCTCCACCACCTCCGCCTCCAGGGCCTCCTGGCTATCAAGGGTATTTCCGTGATGATTATCCTCCACCACCACCTCAACATATCTACCACCAGTCTTGGGATAATTACCAGGGTGATGCTTTCTGCTCTTCATGTTTGAGAAGCTGGTATGCCTCCCAATTATTATTATTATTATTTGTTTTTGTTTTGGTTGTTACTTGTTCGTCTTATAATCTTTTGGATCAGTTTTATCTTTGTTTATTTTGAATTCACATTCTTGTTTAGTTCTCTGAGGAAACACTTAATAACATGAACATTGTTAACACGTAATACTATAATTTCTAGCTATTAAGTAAATAATGAAATTTAGTTTTTCTTATAAATACGTATATGTGGCATACATCTAGATCTGTTAGTCTTGACTAATTTTGGTATTTAACTGTTCAATTTGCACTCATCATGAATTCCACAATTTGAACAAGCTCTTGTTAAATTAGTTTTATTCTGTAAAGAAAAAAAGATCGAAATTTTATGCCAAAAATTAAAAATTGTCCAACAGGGCTTTACCAACTTGGCTTCCTAAGGAAATCCGCAAGAGAAAAAAAAAAAAAAAAGGAAAGCCTTCCACACTCTAATACAAAAATAAGATGATAAATGATAATTTGCTAAAGAAGATCTGACTTAAGAGCAATAAACGACAAGGATTCCTAGAGTAAAGTTGGATGATTTTTACCAGTTAGGCTACCTTAGAAACATTTTCATTGGTCTTGGGAAATGAAAGCTGCATTTTATGTGCGTAGCACAAGAATTAATGGTCTTTTTCTCCTTTATATTTTTGGGCTAGGCACATTTTGGTCCAATTTTTTCTTTCTAGAGCGGGATCATATTCAATCTTGTAATGGAACCGAATCTCAACTAACATGGATCAGAACCTGCTAAATCTCTACCACCTAAGCAATTTACCTAACCTAACTGATTTGATATTCTAATTAGCACATTTTGTCCAATTTGTGTTTCTCCATCCAGTTCACTGTTTTCTTGGAATTGTATATAGTTATCTAAGGACTTGTCCGTTTACTGCTATTTCTTATTAGGAACAGCCATATATATATGACAAAGAGTATAAGCCTGTAAACTAAAATTAAAAATTGCTAGATGACACACACACACACATATATATATGTATATATATATATATATTACCATTAATTGTTCTTCAGAAATTTCATGCATTTTTCTCACTGGTGCAGCTTGGCAGTTCTCTGCTGTTGTTGGATATGGGATCGGTGCTGTTGGTACTAATTGAAGGGATGCTGTTGATTATTATGGACTTCCAAATTGCCAAAAGAAGAAATAAGAATCTGGAGAAAAAATGTTTTTAATTTCAAAAGAATTATGTAGGTTTGAGGACTTTGATTTTTTCTTCATTTCTTTATTTGTGTCCCTGTTTCCTCTCAATTCATGTCATCAGAAAATTTTAGAAACAGACTGTGATAGGTAATGTTGGGCTGATTAATGCGTGATTGTGCTTGCCACTGCAGCCACAAAGGTATAGCTAGCTGCATCAAGTCAAACCAAAAATAATAATAATGATAAATGGAGAAGCTTCAGAAAATATTTTTTTGTAAACATTTAATTGATTCATTTTCATGAATCAGAGCTAAATCTTTAAATATCGTGGCAATAAAGTCTAGTATGATCATTTTTAACTATGTTCATATCGATCGTACATGTGATTGATTCCATTTGGGTTTTCCAATCTTCCATTACAGATGCTATGTCGACTTTATCTTGTAAGATGGAGGGACTAAATCAGTAAATGGTGAAACATTAGTGAACGAATTGACTAAGACTCCAAAGATAAAAGATCAAAATGAAAATTGACGAGATGGGAACTTTACAAATTTTGTCATTTAACGAATTTCGCCAAGCTGTCCAACTTTATCTAATTCATGCTTCAAACAATAGCAATAACAAAAAGATTAATTTTTCCTACACTAATAGCGTATATACCGTTAGCACTGGATGAATGACAATTATATAAAATTTGAATTTGAAATCCAATTTTCGCACAGGTGTCATAAATCTAATGATGATAGTGTATACACTGTCAGTACATAAGATTTACTTGTAACAAAATCATACAACTATATAAATAGGAATAAATTGAAATTTATTAATAGCTTAAGTGATCAGTGCACACTGCAGAGTGATGATCTTCATAAACTAATTCTTTGGTCATTCAGCGGAGGATATGCAATCACGAGATACTCCTTTTGTAACGGCAAATATTTGTTAATGAAGAATTTCCTTTTGGTCTTGCGGAAAAATAATGGAGACCAACCATAATTTCCATTTTATTCTTTGCTTGTCTTTTAAACTTTTTGAAGATAATATTAACTGTACACTTGTAGTAATTGCTAATTTTTCCTCTCTGCGTGGTTTTGACTTTTTCTTCATCAAGACTACTTACTTTGGGTACTTATTCCCAATTATATGCCAAGAAACTGCTAAACTCAATGGACAAGTAAAGAATATTTCATCAAGTGAACTCAAATCATAGTAGTTGTAACTTGTAAGTGAGAAAGATGAGGCTGTTTTGTAGAACAGTTTCGTACGTTACTTTGTTTGCTTCCTTAGCTGCAGTTTTTGTAGCTGTGACAACAAATGGCTCCAAGCGTTTGTCTTTTTTCTCCCTTCCATCTTCACCATGGACATGGACGCCCACCATTGCCACTCCTCCATCATCCTCCTTCTCCCTTCCTCCATCCAGTGCAAATCAATCTTCGCCGCCAAACCCTAAATCTGCTCTTTACCCACACTTTAGTGTAAAATGTTTAACACATTTTTTACAAGTTTGTTTATAATTCTCATGCTAAAATTATTCGTTTTGTACGTTTATATTTGTAAGATTTCATTTCTTGCATTTGCCATTTTTTCTAAGATGTGTAAATCCATGGTGTAGAATCCAAAAATGCAAAAAGTGGTGGATGGTCTCATTAAAGATTTGGATGCTGAAAGCTTGAAGAGAAGAGGGAAACCAAGGGATGAGAAAATGGAGAAGATTGAGGCGAGTCTTGCCAGAGCTAGAGCTTTGATTAGAGAAGCCACAGTCAATGGCAGCCAGCAATTGCCTCTTCATGACGCGGACTACATTCCTCAAGGAGAAATTTACAGGAGCCCTTCAGTGTTTCACAGGTAAATAACAAATTCTTCTGTTTGAATATTAATTTTCACACTTTGGCATGGAATATTACAGAGGAAAAAAAGGAAAAGATAGCATATGGAATATTCTAATAGTTTAGTCTTGTTGGGAAATTAAGGCAATGAAACAGAATTTCCTATTTGGTCATACAGGAATTAAAACTTTGACCAAAAGAAAGGAGCTAAAGAAAAATTATTGTGATGAATGGCTTAATTATGATAAGTTCTTGTCTTAAAATATGCGTGATAATTGCAAAATTGGGGCACTTGGAATGTTAAATAATCTAAATGGTTAAGCAGAAAGTTCTTGGGTTCCTTTGATCATTATGGTGTAATCCACACCATCTGATCAGAGAACGCATAAATTGGAATTTTCTTCTTATGAAGTGAGTTCAAGTTTTTAATTGCTAGTTGATTGGCTCTCCACAAAGCTGAAATTGTGTTCGAATAAAGTAGTTTTATTTCAAATAAGGAAATTATTGACTTTTTGCTCCTTCATTGCCTTTGTTTAGTCATTAGTTGTATATACAAAATTAACACATGTACACGGAAGTACTACTTTTATACACCTTGCACTGATTATAGTGAACATGGACAGCTTGGTATACCTTTCTTTTGTAATTCAGGTGTATCAGAAGAAATTCTTTTTCAGGACAAACTTTATTCATGAAGTTCAGGAAAAGGAAACTGGAATAATCAGTTGAATATTGAAACAAGAATGCAAACCATATACAAGTCTATTATAAAGTGAACTGAGTCATTTCTACCTACATTCAGCAGTGCATACTACTGTTCTTTAACTTTATATCAGATTCAGCTCAAACCCTGTGGATTAAAGGGCGAGTTTTGTTGCAGGAGTTACCAGTTGATGGAGAGTCTCTTCAGAATATTCGTGTACGAAGAAGGGGAGCCTCCCTTGTTTCACTATGGACCTTGCAGGGACATATACTCATTGGAAGGGATATTTTTAGGCTTAATAGAGAAAAACACACGATTCCGGACCTATAATCCTGATGAAGCTCATGTATACTTCCTTCCTTTCAGTGTAGTAAAGATCCTTGAGCACCTTTTCGATCCAATTAGCCGTGATAAGGCTGTTCTAGAACGTGTAATTGGCGATTATGTTCGTATAGTTTCTACCAAATATCCGTACTGGAATAGAAGCTTGGGAGCTGATCATTTGACGCTTTCCTGCCATGATTGGGTACTTTTTCTCCTCTAAAGAAGATCGCTTTATCTATTTATTTTTCTCTAGTTCTTGACTTTTGTTAAGAGCTTGTGGTCCTAGTCTTTTTTTTTTACTTTACCTGAAGTTAATTTAAGAATGAGATTCATGGATAAGGGATTTAAACAACCAAAAAGACCAAGAGATCAAGGATTGACTCTGTTGTGAACCAAAATCTTTACTGAACATTAAGTCATTCAACTCTAATGAATCCACTCATTAGTCACTGTTCCCAAGCAAAACCATATTATCCTGTTGATTATAGTAGTGAAACCATGCACTCAAAAAAACAAACAATTAAACTTTTACAAGTTCTGAAAGAAGTGGATGATAACCAAGATTTAACTATGCTGATTTCAGTCAATAGGCTTTAAGTCACAATGTTACCACGCAACAACTCACTGGTGTAATTTGGATATGTAGGGGCCTCGTGCTACATGGTATGTTCATCAGTTATACTTCACTTCCATTCGAGCTCTATGCAACGCGAATACTTCTGAGTTCTTCAACCCCCGGAAAGATGTTTCATTCCCTGAAATTAACCTGCAGACTGGAGATATTGCCATAGTTACCGGAGGATTGTCCCCATCAAATCGAACAATTTTAGCATTCTTTGCCGGTGGATACCATGGACGAATTAGGCCTGCACTTTTTCAGCACTGGAAGAATAAAGACAGTGACATTCAAGTATATGAAAAACTGCCAGGGAATTTATCTTATCATGAAATGATGAAGAAAAGCAAGTATTGTCTGTGTCCAAGTGGTCATGAAGTTGCTAGTCCAAGAATTGTGGAGGCAATCTATGCAGAATGTGTTCCAGTAGTGATCTCACAGGACTATATTCTTCCTTTTAGTGATGTTCTTGATTGGAACTCTTTCTCCATTCAGGTTTCAGTGAGTGAATTGCCAAACTTGAAAAAGATTTTGATGGCAATTTCAGAAGGTAAACATAGAAAATTGCATGAGGCAGTGAAGCAAGTACTGAGGCATTTTATGATAAATGATCCTCCCAAGAGATATGATGTATTTCACATGATAATTCACTCCATTTGGCTCCGAAGGTTGAATGTCAAAATATATGGTTAATAGAAGTCATGTTAATTATGCAAACTACAGTATACTAGTTAAATTGAATATCCCCTCAAATGCTTGATTATTTTTTCTCAAACCAAACTCACTAGATTGATGAGAACATCACTGCCCCCCAAGTGAGAATAGAAATTGATAAACACTATTTAATTTGATTTGGCAAAACTGCCAGCCAAATGACACTGATGCTAATGAAAATAAGCGAAAAAAATTTCAGAATCTCTATTGGAAGAACAAGAATTCATGGGTAGTGTTTCTATGCTACAATGGCGGTAAAGTGCTTACCCCCAAAAACCCATTAAAAAAAAGAATAAAAAGAATAAAATTATGACATATCATGACTTGTGGAACAACATAGTTATACATCGACAAATAACCAATTTTTCTTTTAGACAAACAGGATATAATCTGATCCTTAAGTCTAAAGTTCTCAATCTTGGGCTTCTTTGCCGCTAGACGCACCACTAATGGCAAAATATAAGAGGAATCTTGGGCCTAACACAATCGTAGAGCAACTAACTGAACCCTATTTGTTGCAATTTAAGTAGGAAACCAGGCCTCGATATGAAAGACATGAGTTATCCTTTTACCAGCCATTGAAATATGCATCCTCATAAACATGTGAGCATGGCATCCTTGTAGCCTCAAATCCCTGCTGAGAATTCCTCCAGACAAATTGGACAATGGTCCAAGCAACCCTCTAAGCATTCGATTTTTCTTTGTATCGGTTCCTTGAAGAAATTGAACTGTCGCACACTGATAATTGCAATCATCATCATCATCTACTACTAATTCATTGTTATACATTTCTTGATCATCACCATCCACATCATTGATTGAGTCAGCATCACGACTATCATCATCTACTAGAGTCGCGTTCAATGTTAATACGCGATTCAAGCTGAAGACTTCATGGGATTTTACTCGGTCTAAAACGGATTGTACGATTTCTGCTTCTTGAGAAGCAAAATCATGCTTGTTTGGAAGAGCAGCTGAGAAACCAGAGATGGTGAAGACAACAAAAGATCATGTTTAATTCTGAATGATTATTTCTTTCAAACTCGAGCATGCAATGTTGAAGGAAATAATTAACTCGTCAGTTTAAAGAGATTC